GTTAAAATCAACCTTCAGGTCACCAGAGGAGGAGCCAGCTCTGGCTGTTTGCAGCCTGAGTACTTCTCCATCGCTCCTTTACTTCCTGGGAGCAGTGGCTTCCATTCTGACCCAGTTGTCCCTGGGCTTTTCTAACACCCCTTGCAGGCACAAGGTGTAGCTGTGGCTCTCAGGGGTGAGGTATGCCCCATTCTCCAGCATGCTGCCCGGGATCTGAGGTCCAGCCAAGCCTCGGTTTCCCATGGAAGCGACTGGTGTGTGTGACACGGACTGGGCTATTCGATGATGGGATGCCAGGGTGGGCGCAGAGCAGCAGCAATGGCCATGGACCTGCGTAAGAAGCCTGCACTAGGATCCAGGAAGGTTTGGCCCTCAGCTCTGCCGCTGTCCTGCTGCCCGGCCATGGTCCCTTCCCATCATCGCTGCATCCAGGCTAAAAGCACAGCAAGCTCCCCCAAGCCTCTGCATCTCGATGGCAAATCTGACACTGTGGATGGCAGTGGAGACAGCGTGAAAGACTTGGCTGGGCTTTAACTTATCTTCACGTTATGCCGTGATGGAAGGCCAAACATCTGAATGAAGGAACTGGCAGACAGTCTTCCCATCTGGAAGTTAGGAATCTAGGTTCAGGTCCAAATCCACTCTTCCAGGGAGGGTTCATTGTGCTTGGGTTGAGACCTTCATGGGATCAGAAATCCTCTCTCTCCCACATGTAAAAAACCCCGAAGGGGTGGTGAAATGCTGGTTTTCCATTGTAAAAAAAAGAGAAAGAAATCTGACTGCATCACTTGGGAAGTTCCATTTCCAGTGTGCTCACCAGAGTGGGACAATGTCCACCCCTCTTTGGGGAGATGCTGATTGAATGAATGTGGCAGCTATTGTGTCTGCTTGGGAGCCTCACAGCCGTTTTTCTTCTGCTGATAGTTTCTTTTCTTTTCCGCTTTAATGAGTATTTCTCTAATTGACTTGATGATTTCTGTTTAATTAGCACATTTTGGAGGAATGATCAAAAAATAATAAGATAAAGTAATCAGACAAGCATAGTGCGGAGGAATAATAGCTCCTTTGTGGGGCTAATTGGAGTGGACAGTCCATCGGCTAGTTTGGGGCTCCTCACAGTTGGATATTCCCAGCCGAGCCGTGCCGTGTGCCTGGGACTTCCAAGCACCCACATAGAGAGAATCAGCTCTGGTCATCGTTTCAATCAGCTTTAATGAGCTGTGAATGAGCACCAAGGAAAGCAGGGTCCCATCCCTGTTTTGTGGAAGGCTGGGGTTTGCCCAGGACCTACCAGCATCCCCAGGGAGGGCTGTGTCCTTGCTCACACACCCTGCATAGGAAAGGAGGGGGTTGTCCATGGGGATGTGAGATGGGCAGGTAAACAGGGCTAGAGAACAACAACAAAGTGGAGCAGGAGGAGAAAACACCAGTGGAAGGAGCAGCTGGAAATCAGAGTTAGGGCTCTTGGGCCTGATCTGCTCGGATTTCTTCCTGAATACCCTGTCCCTCACGTTCCCATATATCACCTAAAGGTTTAAGCCTCTGGGCAAACCCCAGTCTCCTCCCTAGGAGGGTTTTCCATGGGCTACATCCCCTATAGCTCCTGGAGGTACACGGGATGAGCTCCGCTTGCTCACTGATTGCCAGCCGAGGCTGGAGGTGCAGCGCCTTGCTGGTCACTTGTTTTGCCCTGTGTGTGGCTGGGCGTCACTGAGGGGCTGTGCCAGCTGGCTGCGTGCGGCACTTCCCAGCGCTTTGATTAAATCTGCAACGCTCCAGATGTGAGCGGCCTGCGCATCGATCGGCACAGGGGCTGCTCTTAAACTCCACTTAAAACGGTGACTGCTCTTCTGGGTTTAATCAAAGGCAAATGCCTTAAGACAGAAATCTGTGCGGGGGAATTAGGAGGGATGTCGCTGGGCCATGTGGATTGGGACATGGAAAGGCACACAACCCCCCCCCCCCCCCCAAGTGCCGAATTAGGGTGGCCCATGTGCTTGCAGTCAGCTCGCTGGCGATGCTACAGCACTAAGCAGTGTGTGGCCAGCTGTGGCTGTGCTCACCCTGAACACCCCTTCCTTCACCCTTGTAAACTCCAGCTCGACACAAAGCTCTTCCCATAGGCTGGCAGTACTGGGAGCACAGGTTTCCTCATTCCTTTAACCTGGCCATGCTGCTTGGCCCTGCAGATCCATCACCCCAAAATGGGGGGGGGGCATTTGGCCGTTGTATCTACCTCCTCCTAACTGGCCAGGAGCACACACACATAATCCAGCACTCAGCCCTGAGAAGAATCCCATTGCCTGCACTGAAAGGAAGAAATCCACCTGGAACTCAGAGGTGGGGATTTAGCCTTGTGAGATAGGGATATGCCTCACTGCACACACACACACACAGAGCCCTTTGCTGCCTTCTCTAGTGATGGGCTGTTTCTCAGTTCCCTATCACCCGTGTGTCACAGGCAGCCTTTTCACCAGCCCCATCCCTCCTTGTGCTCCCAGGAGGACATGGAGGAGGCAAGAGAAAAGCCCTTTGCCTTCTGTCCATGAGGGCAGGGACCTTCCCCCTCAGGCTCCCACCCTTGGTGTGTCACTGCACCCCACTCCTGAGCCACCCTACACCCAGTGCAGGGTCCACCATGGCCACAGGCAGCTTCCCTGCAGAGCAGGCACTCAAGGGATGTGGTTTCAACATCATTCCTGGGGACCAGGCTCCTGCTTGCTCCCGTGCCAGGAGCTGATGTGGCACAAAGAAGCAGGGAGCCCTGGGCTGTGACTGCTGGTGCAGGTCCAACGGGTGGGAGCCTTTTCCACCCAGAGCTGTCTGAAACTGTCAGATGGTCCTTTATTATTGACCTGATTCATATCTAAACCAGGGAGGTGAAAGCTGTCTTATCCCATTACTAATCCCCTAAACCAGGCCCTTCTCCTTGCTACCCCCTGGTTCTTGCTACAGCAGGTGGTTGAGAGGCAAGTGTACATCCTTCTGGGGTTTTCCCAAGCTTCATATCCCTGCAAAGATGGGGTCCCAAAACCCCACCAGCCACTGATGGGCTCACAACCCATCACTGGCTGAAGAGGATCTGCCAAAATACAGCACCTATTTGTAGACCCTCAAGGATGCACCAGGCTTGTCCCCAGTGCCTGAAGGGGACAGCCCCAGGTACCCACCCCAGCCTGTGTGCCCTCATGATGCACCCCATAGCGTGCTGCAGGGCATGGAGGTGTTTGAGGTGGCACTGGAGCAGCCATGGGGACACCTCAGGCATGGTCCCACCTCCCTATGCCCCCAGTCCTGGCCCAGTGCAGGGGACAGGGGTGCTCCAGCATCAACCGTGGGTTGTACCCATGCCTGGGACACCAGTGCCAGGGTGCTGTATCCTCTGATCACCATGGCTGGAACCCTCGTGGAAGACTTGGGTGCTGTGGGGGGGGTGAACCCCAGGGAAATTAGAGCAAGGGGCGATGTTTGATGTTCCGCTCTTTAAGCGATTAATAATCTTCCAGCATTGGAGAATCAGCTGAAAATCTTCCCTGGAAAATAATGAGCAGAGAAACATTTACTGATTAGTCTAATCCCAGCTAATCCTATTGGATGAGCATATATCAAGATATCCTTTAACTGATTTATTGTCCAAAGGGCTGCTGGAGATGCCCCTCTCCTCCATGGCCAGGGGAGCTGGTGGTGGCAGCAGGTATTGTCCCCTCGCCGTGTCCCACATCCCCGGTCCCCTCCAGCCCCGACCGCAGCACCGTATCCAGGCCACCTCCAGATTTAATCGCTCCTTCCATGTCTGCATCTATCGGCTTTCTCTTGGGTTTGAGTTTTTATGTTTCATAAACTGATTAGGAGCAATTATAGGTGCTTTATCCCCAAACTTTCCAAATGCCTAGGCCATATGCATATTTAAGGCTTCATCATCTCTCCCAACAGCTCAGCCCGAACGTAAACTGCTGAAATCAAGCTGATTCTGGGACAAACATCAAAAATTAGGGGTTTATCCACTAATATCTGCACGGAACAGGAAATTTGTTGTGGGTGGTGGCCGGATTATGGCTTCTAATTACTGCAGCAGCGCAGATCCTCCCTGCCCGGCAGTGAAAGTCTCCGATTCCAGCCGAACTGTGGCAAAACCACTCTGGAGGAGTGAAGGTGCCCAAGACGATGCCGGGTGCCCTGTCCTGGGACTAAGGAACAGCCTTGGGTTGGTGCGCCCTCAGCATCCCTGCATCCCAAAGCACATGGGCGGTGGCTTTGGGAATGGTACCCCCCCCCATCCTGGTGAGTGGTGGCCCAGAGGGTCTATGTCGTGTGTCCCCCCCCCAGCATCCCCCAGCGCCGGCCACGGCAATTATCCTAAATGAAAGTTATTGTTCTGCTAATCCCGGGAACAGCTTGCGAGGGGAGATTTGGGTCTTCCTTTAATAACGCAAAGTTAATGCGGAGTCCCCTTGTAATTATCTTTATCAGAAGGACCCTCGCTTAATCTGACCGTCCAGTGAAGGCCCGGATCAGGCAGCCCGTGTAAGCCGGTTGTAAATCGTTTTCCATCACCAAATGAAGGGAAGGGTGGAATAAATTGCAGCCCAGGTGCAAGAATCTGGGAGCTAAAGGGAGGACAGGGGCCAAGGCACCTGGAGGTGGCCCCATCCCCATTAGCAGGACACTTGGGGTCAGGGAGGGTCCTGTACCACAGCCCTTGGCCATCCCTGTCCCCATCCCCGGGGTGCTGAGTGGAGGGACAGTGGCCAGGTAGGATGCCTCGTCTGGGATGTGGGGCTGAGAGACCATGGGGTGGGCTGGGAACCCTGGAAGAGGGGACAAGGGGACATAACGGGGGGTCCTGGGAGCAGAAATGGGACCAAGGGGTTGTGAGGGGGGGATTTGGGTGACCGGGAGCGGAGAAAGGGGAGGCTGAGGGGGACCGAAGGAAGGGACCCGGGAAGGGGATGGGCAGGACCGAGGGGCGGGGGCTGCGGGGAGCGGAGGGAGGGACGCCGCGGGGGATGTGACCGGGAGCCGTTAATCTGGGGATTGGGAGCGCTACCCCCGCTCCTCCCGCCGCCCCGGGGCGTGATTGGAGACGGGGCCGGCGGCGGGACCATAAAAAGGGCTGCGGGCGGCGGTGCCCGCTCCGGGCCGGGCCAGGAGGCGGCGGCGGCGGCGATGCCAGGGCGGGCGGAGCCGTCGGGGGGACGCGCGGCTGCGGCGGGGACCGTACCGGTGGCCGCACCGGTGGCACCGGCAGCGCGACCGGGCGGCGCGGGGCTGCGGGCCAAGGGCTTCGCCATCACCGACCTGCTGGGGCTGGAGGCCGAGCTGCAGCCGCCCCCCGGGCCGCTCCCCGCCGCTGGCTACGAGGGTGGCGGGGCGCTGGGGCTGGGGCTGGGGCTGCTCTGCGGGCTGGGGGCTCCCGGAGCCCCGCGCCTGCTGCCGGCTCCGCTGCCGCTGCTGCCCGCCCGCGGCCCCCGCCCGGCCCCGGGGCCGCCGCCCGCCGCCCGTCGGCACAAGGAGAACATCTCCGGTGAGCGGGGCCGGGGGTGGCCGCGCACAGGGACCTCCCGCACCACGGGACGGAGCCGCTGGCCCGGGCATCCCGGGATCGGGCCCGCCGGGCTGCCCACCCCCTGCCCGGGATGCCGACATCAGTGCCGCGGTCGGGTGCTGGGGTGGGGGGGACGGGGAGCCCCGGCCCCGCTCTCTCTTCGTGTTTTGGGAGCTGGGTTCTGTTCCCCCTGCTCCCGACGGGAATGTGACTCTTCCCCTCCTGCATGCTGCTGCCAGATGAGGACAGCCTGTGCGGGGACGGCAGCGAGCTGAAGATGTCCACCTCCCAGATCAAGAGGAAGAAACGCCGGCACAGGTAGGGCTGTCCCTGTTTGCACCTCTCCGCTGCTGCTGCCACCAGCCTGCTTCTGGTCCCCTGGCTGGGGCAGTGGGTGGCATAGAACCACAGAATGGATTGGGTTGGAAGGGACATGAAAGATCATCCATGTCCCCAGAGGAGGAAATATAAGGGCTGCAGCTGGGGATGGGGGGGGTATTTCAGGATGAAAATCATCTTTGTGGTGCTCCTGTGGATCTGCTTGAGTGAGTCCAGAGGAGGCCATGGAGATGCTCCAAGGGCTGGAGCAGCTCTGCTCTGGAGCCAGGCTGAGAGAGCTGGGCTGGTTCAGCCCGGAGAAGGCTCCAGGGACACCTTAGGGCAGCTTCCAGTGCCTAAAGGGGTGACAAGAAATCTGGAGAGGGGCTTCTGACAAGGGCCTGTAGGGACAGGACAAGGGGGAATGGCTTTAACCTCACAGAGGTGAGATTGAGATGAGACATTAGGAAGAAATTCTTCCCTGTGAGGGTGCTGAGGCCCTGGCACAGGGTGCCCAGAGAAGCTGTGGCTGCCCCATCCCTGGCAGTGTTCAAGGCCAGGTTGGACACAGGGGCTTGGAGCAACCTGCTCTAGTGCAAGGTGTCCCTGCCCGTGGCAGAGGGTTGGAACTGGATGAGCTTTAAGGCCCCTTCCAACCCAAAGCAGTCTGTGACTCTATAAAGCTCCAGTGGGAAGGGGGCTGCAGTCAGGGTCTGGACTGCATCACAAGGGTCTCTCTCCTCTTGGCAGGACGGTGTTCACAGCTCACCAGCTGGAGGAGCTGGAGAAGGCTTTCAACGAAGCTCACTACCCTGACGTCTATGCCCGGGAGATGCTGGCTGTGAAGACGGAGCTACCGGAGGACAGGATACAGGTAGATGGCTGCAGTGATTTTCTCTCCCACTGGGGTCCATGGGGCGTCTCTTCCCTTTGGCCAGAGAGTGCAGGTGGTGGGAACGTGGTGGCACTGAAATGCTGCAGGGCACTGGAGGGAACTCAGCTTCCACCCCAGCACCAAACAGGCTTCAAATGGAAATGCAGAACGAGGGGACTCGTTGGACTCAATGACCTTAAAGGTCTCTTCCGACTTGGTTGATTCAATGGTTCTATGACTGAGCTGTCCCCAGCAGCTGATCAGTGCAGCAGCTCGGCTCTGTCCTCCAGAGACCCAACTCAAGCAGGAACTGGGAGCAATTCAGGAGCCCAGCTGTGTCCCATTGGCTTCCTCATTAGCTTGTCCCTCTGGGGCACACACGGCATTTTAGGGCTTGATCCCTGGCAGTGTTTAAGGCCAGTTTGGACAGGGCTTGGAGCAACCTGGTCTAGTGGAAGGCGTCCCTGCCCGTCCAGGGGATTGGAATTGGATGAGCTTTAAGGTCTCTTCCAACCCAAACCAGTCTGGGATTCTAAGACCCTGTCCCACTGCCGAGCAGCTCGTTGGCTTAAGAACTGGGTGGATGTCTGGGCAGCAGCTAGGTTGTACCTGCATCCCTTGAGCCTTCAAATGCAGGAAGGGGGTGAGGAGAGGGACCTGAGCACCCTCTGTCATTGTCACTCGCTGCATTAGGGCCCCATTTTCTGTAGAGGATGGAAGCAGCAGAGGAGCTCTGTGGGCAGGCGGAGCGTAGGGTGGCTTTGGCTGGGATCACCCTCCTGTGCCACAATCAGCCTCGTGTAACGTGTGCTCCCTCTCCCCCCTTTCTCCCCTCTGTCACTGACACCCACGTGTGTGCCCTCCCTTAACCCCCCCCCCACACACCGCTGCCACCTGCACATCCACGCTCTGCACACCCAAACCCCTCCATGCACCCCCGCGGCTGCCCCTTTGCCCTGGACACACGTCCCCCCCTCCCCTGCCCGATGGACCCTGGATGCCACGGGGCTGTGTCCTCCCAATCCCACCCCTCCGTGCTCTCCTGGCTGTTACCCCTGAAGGTTTGGTTTCAGAACCGAAGAGCCAAGTGGCGGAAGAGGGAGAAGTGCTGGGGACGGAGCAGCGTGATGGCCGAGTACGGCCTCTACGGGGCCATGGTGAGGCACTCCATCCCTCTGCCCGAGTCCATCATCAACTCTGCCAAGAGCGGGCTGGTGGGGTCCTGCGCCCCATGGCTGCTGGGTAAGTGGAAGCTTGGGGCTGGAAGGGTCATATGGGAGCTGCAGAGTGAGCGGCCCTTCCTATTCCATATGGCCATCCTAGTCTGTTCCCAGAAACGAATGGGGTCTCAGCTATGATCTGTACACAGGGGGGATGAGAACACTGGCTTTTCTACTCCCTCCTTGCAAAGAACAGCTGGGAAAGGGAGAACCTTTTCCTGCAGGGTCAGAGAGGTGTCTGCATGTGGTGGGTATCGCTGTCTGGTGCTAACAGCCAGTGTGGGAACCATAAAACCATAGAACCATAGAGTTGGCTAGGTTAGAAAAGACCTTCAAGATCACCCAGTCCAACCATTCCTCAGCACTGCCAAGGCCACCACTAACCCATGGCACTGAGGGCCTTGTCTCCACGGTTTGTGAACACTTCCAGGGACGGTGATTCCAGCACTGCCCTGGGCAGCCTGTTCCAATGCCTGACTGCCCTTTGGGGAAGGAATTGTTCCTAATATCCAACCTAAACCTCCCCTGGTGCAGCTTGAGGCCGTTTCCTCTTGTCCCATCCCTTGTGCCTTGGGAGCAGAGCCCAGCCCCCTCCTGGCTCCATCCTCCTTTCAGGCAGTTGTAGAGATCAGTAAGGTCCCCCCTGAGCTTTCTCTTCTCCACACTAACCCCCGTCCACCTCCCTCATCCGTTCCCCATCACACTTGTGCTCCAGGCCCTTCACCAGCACCGTTGCCCTTCTCTGGCCCCACTCCATCACCTCAATGTCTCTCTTGTACTGAGAGTCCCAGAAGTGGACAGATTTGAGGTGTGAATGGGAGTTGCAGGGTGCCTAGGAAGTCATCAGCCTCCCCACCAAACTGAGGAGAGAGCTACCTGAGCGCTCCCCTCTGCTCATACACAGTCCTGTACTGAGGAGGCACCCGAAATCCTCTCCCTGGAAGTCTTCCCCACTGCAGGGGAGGTACGGACCAACTCTGTCACAAGCCATGCTCCTGGCCTGCAAGAGAGCAGGCTCCAGGGCTCCGGGTCAGGAAAGGCTGGTAGCTAGCATGAGTTTTCCTTTGGGATGCAAACGGGAGCTGAAGGAAGCAGCAGGAGGTGATGCTGAGCAGTCGTGGGCAGAAAGAAGCAACCAGCCCCCGTGGCTTTGCTCTCTCCCCTGCAAGGCATGCACAAGAAGTCCATGGAGGTGAGCAGGAAGGCGGAGAGCCAGGAGAAGCTGGCAGATGCCTGGCGAGCGGAGCAGCAGGAGGAGGAGGAACTCAAAGGGAAGCAGGCCAGTTCCCAGAGGGGCTCTGACAAGCTTGGCCCAGCAAAGGATTCGGAGGACACAGCCATCGACCTCTCCAGGACAGCCAAGCACGAGAAGAGGGGTGTGCTGAGGCAGTGCATCAATGGGGACCCCCCCACGGAGCTGAGCAGCAGGGACCACTGACCAGCTCCCTGCTGAGATAAGAATACTTATTGCTTTATTGCTATATATATATATTTTTTCCTTAAATAATTGAACTTTTCTCTGAATTCAGGGCATTTCAAAACTGGGCACACACATCCTTGTCCCCTCACATTGTTCTGGAGCCAGGGTGGAGGGTGGGAGGGGTGTCCCAGCGGGACCAGGAGCAGTGTGGAAATGAGAGCACGTTGTGGTCAGCATGGACCACTGCCAGGGACGAGCTGCCCTTCCCCTCTGGGCTCCGACCACTTCCTGGCTAGCCAGGAGCACAAGGAGCAGCAATGCAATAGGAGCGGCTTCCCTGCTCCGACACACGGGTGCAAAGTGCAGGAGGTGACAGACACCTTTTCCACGCGCTTCCACCGTGTGGAAGTTGCTCTGAACACCAGCTCTTCCCTCTCCAGGAGCAGCAGGTTTGAAACGCGGCTGGGTTCATCCTCAAGCTGGTGTAACCTGACAGGCGCTCCGGCCTGCCAATGCAGCCTTACCACTGGATTTACACTGTGTGACCTCCTTAACTCGTACCTGGGAGAAGGGGGTGAAGACATTCTTGTTTATGCAATGATTTTTGTACACTCTTGAATGTTTCCTGCCACACTATGCAGCACAGAACCGACCTTTGGAAAACCAAGCCATAGAACCCAGAGCAATTAAACAGTTTTGTGCATTGACATAAGAAGATATTTTGTAATTGTCCGTACAAGGTGTTAATGTCAGAGCTGTTTTTTGGTCGTCCTCTGTTTATGCCTAAAAGCACTTTAGTGATCTGGATTTTTGAATGTGGCTCTTCCTGTTTTGTCCACCGCTTATTTATTACACATCCATAAATAAAATCGTGGTGTCTCTTTGGTTTTCATGCTCTGCCTTGTAGTTTGTACCTTCCTTTGGCACATCTCATACTGGCTGCCAGATCCTCCATAGCGTTGTGCATTGGGCGGGAGGGCTCTGCCGAGGCAGTGTCATTACTCCAAGGGGGCAGAGGTCTAGTCCAGTGGCCTGCACATGCCAGAAGGTGATTGATTTGTGCCAGTCGAAGAGCCAGCCCACAGCTGATGGCTCATGAGAAGGTCTGAAATGGAGCACTCAGCTGGCTTCTCAGGGAAGCCACAGGGAGAAAGTTGTTCCCTTGTCCCAGGGGTTGTGGAAGTTTGACAGGCTGAGAGAGCTGGGCTGGTTCAGCCTGGAGAAGAGAAGGCCCCAGGGAGACCTTAGAGCAGCTTCCAGTGCCTAAAGGGGCTGACAAGAAAACCAGAGAGAGGGGCTTTTGACAAGGGCCTCTAGGGACAGGACAAGGGGGAATGGCTTTAACCTGACAGAGGGACATTGAGAGGAGACATTAGGAAGAAATTCTTCCCTGTGAGGGTGCTGAGGCCCTGGCACAGGGTGCCCAGAGAAGCTGTGGCTGCCCCATCCCTGGCAGTGCTCGAGGCCAGGCTGGACACAGGGGCTTGGAGCAACCTGGTCTAGTGCAAGGTATCCCTGGCTGTGGCAGGGGGTTGGAACTGGATGAGCTTTAAGGTCCCTTCCAACACAAACCAGTCTGGGATTCTATGAAGATCTTCCTCAATATAGCTTAAATGTGAGTTTCTTCACTGTTGTGTTGTGCCCCGCCAGCAGGAAAGGTGCTCTGCCTCTTGAGTGTCTGTGCAGTGCTCTCCTACTCCTCTTCCTGCTGTTCCTGATGCTTTGAGAGGTGCAGAGTTGGGCCCTTGTGCCCTCACATCTCTTGTGGTTAATACAAGCAGCAGCTGCTCGCTCACTCGGGCTAGGTGATGGCATGGTGGCACATACTGTTGGAGGCACACCACAGCAGCTGTGTGGTCCCAACCACACAAGCACCCCCAGGGAGGCACAAGGGTGTCGTGGCCATCCAGCTTCCTGATTCCTGGCTGTGCTGAGTCCTCATCTCCTGGCTAGGCTGAACTGGCCCACGCCAACACCACGACAGCTCTCCTGGAAAAGCTCCAGTCTCATCTGCTGGCCAAAGCATCACGGAAAATTATCCAGAGGTTTTATTAAAATCTCAGTAATTCCCCATTTGGAAAGTTTCCTAATCCATCTCAGGGGTGGGTGGCCATGTAGGGATGCTGTCACCTGTCCCCACCTTTGCTGCTGTGCCCAGCTCCTTGCACACAGCCTGTGCTGGGCAGGGGGACAGCGGTGGGACGCTGCCTAGGGAGAGCATCTGCACATATCCTGCCTTTTCCTGCCTCTTCCCTCCTCTGTTGGGCCCTTGCTGGGCGGGAGGGAACATCTGCATGGCAAATACGAGCTTTGCAGCAAAACCATGTCTGATGGGGGGGGGCACGGGGAGCGTGGTTCAGGAAAGGACCAGCCAGAGCTTATTGCAGCAGCAATTAGGCTCACCGAGAGCCGAGACTTAGCACATTGAAGGCCTAATCCTGCCTGAGCAGCATCTGCAAACCTTCTATTTGGGCTGTGCCCCGCTGGCACTGGGTGCCTGTAATCATTCATTCTTGCTGTGCCCGTGTGCAGATGGCCTGGCTCTTTGCCTTGATGCTGGGTGCAGTGCTGTGGGAGGGAGCGTGTCCCCACAACTGCTGCAAGGGGAGAAACCCCAGCCCCTGCCCCGTGCAGGGTGAGGACAACTCTCTTGGTCGGCTCCAGCTCTCACCTCATGCTGTGGAGGGAGAGCTGCTGGCCCGTGGCACTTTGTGGGTGCCAGGAGGTAACCGTGGGGTGCAGCCGGGTGCGCTGGGGCTCAGATGTGCCCCTGCCGCTCACTCACAGTGTGCACCCCGAAGGAGGTGCTGCTGGGTACCAGCGACTGCCCAAAGCTCCACAGCGCTGGTGGCAGGGTCTGGAGGGGCAATCCTCGGAGCAGGGACAGTCACTCACCTCTTGGCTGCCTGTGCTAAGCCGGGCACGGAAGTGCTCGCTGTCCTCCGCATGTCGCTGCGGTTGTGTCAGCAATAGGAGTAAGGCAGCACCTTCTTCCTGTTGTTGTTTCAGGTTTGATCCATGCTGGGGTGAGTGGTAGTCAAATCAGTGCCAGTTCAGGCCATGGACAGCCTCAATGTGACAGAAGAGACCATGAGTTACGGCAACGGCCGCTGCTTGTGCACATCTTCCTTGCTGCACTGGGGCTGCCCATGGGAGGCTTGAGAGTCCCTCAGGCACAAAGGCTGGGTTTGCTCAGGCAGGAAATCCCTTCAGTGGGGCTTGGGCAAGAGGAGCTGGTAACGTGAAAGCCGTTGTTCAGCAGCCTCACTTCATCTGGGCTGCCACTCACCCCAGCACATCCAGATCTTTCCATAGCACTAGCCAGGGACTCCAAACAACCACAGAGGAAGAGGAAAGGGAAAAGGGAGTAAAATGATATTATTTTGGCATCCCTCGGCTTCTTACGGGATTGGAGGCTGACTGTCAAGCATGCACGTCTGGGGGCTGCAGGGAGGCAGTGGCATCTGCATGGTGCCATTTCTGTACTTGGTAATATCAAATGCTAACCATCATCCTGCAAATCCTCCCAAGCCACCGGCTGGATTTTCAGACTGGGAGGTTAGGAAGTACAGTATGAGCTATATAGAAGTTATAGTGGCTGCCCCATCCCCGGCAGTGTTCAAGGCCAGGTTGGACACAGGGGCTTGGAGCCACCTGCTCTAGTGGAAGGTGTCCCTGCCGGTGGCAGGGGGTTGGAACTGGGTGAGCTTTAAGGTCCCTTCCAACCGAAACCAGTCTGGGATTCCGTGATTCTATAGTATTATCTACATAGGAGTAGAAACGTTTTGGAAGTGCTCCCTCGTGTGGAGCCCTGGGTGATGGGACACCATCGGAAGCTGGAAGGTTAACTGGAGCCCCAGAAGTAACCAGGAGCCTCGCTCCTTCCCCTGAGCCCAACAGACTCCTGTCTACTGCCGAATGAACCTAGACCCCCGTCTGGATGCCGAATGAAATAGTCCCATGGGGGTTTGTTTTCCATTAATTGCTTCTTGGATCACCAGCAGGCACTTGGTAAAGGAGCAGCCCCTTCCCCAGAGCAAGCTGGCTTGCAGCACAGGGCACAGGCATTGATCAGAGGCTCCAGCTTGCTCCAGCCTGCTCCTTTCCAAGGTTATTGTTAAAGAAGATTCTTTGCCCTGGGTTTCACACAAGAGGTTGCTAGAACAGTAATTTAATAACTGACTGGCTCAGGAATACAGGTGGGTGCGGGTGCCTATGGGATGGGACCCAGAACGCAGACATCCCTGGGGCTTTATACCCTTACTCATAGGTCTTTATACCTTACTTATGCACTGGCCATCAGGCACTGCTCACACACCTTGCTCACATCTCATGGTTCCATGGGGAATTTTGGTCTGGGGTTTGCTGGTCCATCACCGAGTTCTTTCAAGGCCTTGAGGCGGGCTGTAAATTCCTTCTTCTCTCTCTGGTTGTTGCTCCTTGCTAAGAATGCATCTCCTCTACCTTCCAGTACGCATTAGCCTTGTGCCTTTTGTTTACAGAACCAAGTACAGGGTGTTGCAGCCTAAGGCTACAGCAGCATCAGTTTCCCTTCAGTTTCTTATGCTCAGGGACTACAAGAGCTCGGCAGTTAAAGGAGTTCAGCTGCTGTTAGTGAGCACAGCGCCGGCACAACCACACTCTTATAAACCAAGTACACGTGTCCAGCCCGCAAAACCTCACCGCGTTGGCACTGGTGAGGCCGACCAGCTCTGCTTTGGGTACCTGCCGTTCCCCCCCTTACTCCATGTGCTGCCGGCGCGGGGCAGCAAAGGCCTCGCTCGCCTTTCTGGCTCCATCCCGACCCTCCACAGCCGTGGCACTCTCTGTGAGCCAAGAGGCACCCGTGGGGTGCAGCCGGGAGTGCTGGCGCTCAGCTGCGTCGCTGCTGCTGCACTCACAGCCGCGCACCGCTCCAGAGGGCTCCCTGAAGGAGATGCTGGTGGACGGCAGCGACTGCCCAAGGCTCCGCAGCGCCGGACGGGCAATCCCCGGAGCAGGGGCACTCGGAGCGGGCATTGCCCAGACCCGGCCCCGCGGCGCCGCTGCGGCGGGGCAGGCGCTGCCTGGCGCGGGGCGGAGCCGTGCGGCTGCCGCTCGGCGCCTGCTCCGTGTCCGTGAGGCCTCGGAGCCGCTCCGCCCCCGCGGCTCGATGGCGGTGGCGGTGCTGCGGCCGCTGGACGCGCCGCCGGCGGAGCTGGCTCCGGTGACTGCGCTGCTGCTGGCTCCGCCGGCGCTGTGCGCGGCGCTGCGCGGCCGGGGCGGCGGGCTGGTGCTGGCGGTGCGGCCGGCGGGGCGCGGCGGGGCGCAGCCCGTGCTGCTGAGCGCCGTGGCGGTGGAGGCGGGCGGGCGGCGCGGCGCAGAGCTGTGGCTGCGCGGGGCCGTGCTGCGGCGGCTGGGGCTGGCGGCCGGGCGCCCGGTGGCGGTGTGGCCGGTGCGGCACCCGCCGGCGCTGGCCTGGGTGCTGCTGGGGGGCGCGGCGGCGGCGGCGGCGGCGGC